TTCGATAAACGTTGGTCCAACTGACAAGTCACTCTGACCAGAATCGGATTTCTCTTCGATAAACGAAAACATTTCATGTCTCCCTCCAGCCAAACCCATAAAAGTTAGGGTTGGAGTTTGAATTTCATCTTGATAAACAAGAAAGCTTATTTCCAGATCAGATAACCTAGACTATAAAAGTTGGGGTTAACTGAATCCTCTCGATTCTCAGGATGGACATCCCATTCTTAGTTTCATCTCACCGATTCTTGAAGTAGAGATCCCACTTTTAGTTTCTTCTGCATACCAAGGATAGAATATAAAATTCTGCTTCTTTGGTATCGGGTTCACTTCTCCCTTAAAAGAAGGACTGAAGAAAGAATATAAAATTCATCCTCTTCAGTATCCGGTTCGTTCTTGTCCTATAAAAGGATGCTATATTATCTGAGTCTGGGGAATTTTATCCCGATGCCTAAGCAGGGATAAGTCGGCTCCTAATACGTGTCGTTGGTTTGTCTTTTACCGTAAGAAAGTGACTAAGTCTACGTATTCAAATTCGTAGCATTAAGTCTAAAGGGGTTCATCCCTTTAGCACAACGTTACTTGTGAAACGGACTCAGATAATTCACAGGCTAGCCCGATTCAAACGGTAGTCGGTAAAGGCATATCAAATCCGTTGACGGCTGAGGATTTGCCAAAAATCCTATAAGTGCTACGTTTGATTGTTCTAAACAAAATGAGAAATGAGAATTAAAAAAGCCACTGAACAAAACATGCGTATCATTAACAAAAAAAAGTGTTCAGATGCAAACAACCACAATCACTTTACATTGTATTTTTGACTAATGATTTCCTGCTCAAGCTTGATTAACTCTTCAGTATAAGCACGTTCAAGCTCATGTTGCAGCTTGATTCTGAAGGAGTCCTCAGAAGCAGATAAGAGTTGGGTGGCTTCTTCTTCCATCTTGGCTAACCTTTCTCTCGAGAGCATCACCTTGCTGGATATCACGACGGCCTTGCTATGCTCCTCCCCGGCCTTGATCACCTCTAAAATAGTTCTTCGCTATTTTGCTTCCACCAGTTTCTACTCGAGCTCCGCTATTTCAACGTCAACAGAGGCTAACGACGAGTCGATTTCACGCAAATGAGCCAATCATTCAGAAAGAACTCCCTCTGCTTGGTCGACACGTCTTCTCTGCGCCTGGATCCCAAGTCCGACAGATTCTCGAGATTCACGCCATGACCTTGGTCGACACGTCTTCTCTGCGCCTGGATCCCAAGTCCGACAGATTCTCGAGATTCACGCCATGACTACATACGAGCCTCCATTCGTGCGGCAACGTAGCCAGAAACACCAACAGATTGAAGCTCTTGTAGTTTCACAAATCTGCACTCAAATTGATTTACATTGTCCATCAAAGCTTCACCTATATCGGGGGAAACAACGTCCTTTATCAAGGCTATTTTACGCTCGAGGACCGGCCGAAAGTGGTTGAAAGGGATCCTCTTCTCCAGAAGCTTGCCAATCAGTGACTCTACAAAATTAAGAAAATTGCTGACTTCCAAGCAGAGGAGGAGCTTATCTGGGTCGTCATCAGTCAATAAGGCATCAACGCGCGCGCGCAGATGAGGTGACGATCCTAGAAAAAGAGATCGCAAAACTATGAATATCCAGAAATGATAAGTTAGAAAAAATAAAAAGGAAAAGATAGCACACGGAATTACCAATCCCCGAAGAGCTTTCTGTGACCGAATGCACTACACCCGCTTCTCGCTGCTTAACTTCATGAGTTGCAGGGAGCATCATAGGTACAGTAACCGTTAAAGCATCAACTCCCGTAGTTGGTCCCGCGGGCGAACTCTCGCTAATAGTTATGGCAGGCACGGTAGTCGGCACTCCCAAAGAAACCGAGAGTTGTTGCGGAAAGCCTGATGACCGAGCGTCAATAACAACTCCTGCCAAAAGCAAGAAATCAAGACCCTCAGATTCACCAGATTTTCCGTTAGGAGTAGTTGTATCAGTCTTTATGACTGGTCCTACGATTTGAACCCTCCGATGAGTAACAAAAAAAAAATCACGAATAAATCAGTGAAACTTGGGAATAAGAATCTTACTTGCAGGCAAGTCAGCGGTGATGATCGGGTCGGCGGCCTCGTGTTGGGCTTGTTCCCGCAACATATCGTCCAGCAGCATATCATCAGAAGCGATACCGGATTATGGGAACCTAGATCCTCTCCTTCAAAAGGCACGTCTTGGGAATCCCCCTCGTCACCTTAACCCTCTGTTACCGCATCTATAAGAAATCAAGCTTACAACAAAAGAAAAAATCAAGTAAAAATTTACCTTCAACGGCAACGCTGGATTCCTGCACCCGCTCGCTTCGATCCACCTCTTGCAGCTTTTCTAACAGAGTAAGAAGCATAGAAACAGTTAGCGGGGATACGAATTCTCCATCGTTCAGTGCCCGCCATCCGAAAGAGGCGATACTGGTTTTAAGAATACCTGGACTCTCAGCCTGTTCGGTTAAACCTGTCTCAACATCGTGACCCGCCTCGGTCCCGCCAAGAATATTAATCTCAGCGTCTGCATGCTCTTCCGGCCTGATTCCCGGAGTTGGTGCGGAGAAATCAAGATCAGGCGAAGAGGCATCAAAGACGAAGTCGCTTGTAAAATCCTCCTCTACAAAGTGCGAAAATTGTTTAAGTCCGAAAACTCAACATATATCGAAAGAAACTATACAAAGAAGTACTCACCCCTTTCAGCTGCAACTCCTTGAGTCATTTTGAGGCTGCCCCGCTGCTTAGTAGCCAGCTTCTTGCGCTTACCCGGACGTCCCTCTTCTGGATCAGCAGGCCTCTCCTCAGAAAATTTCGAACGTAATTCGCGCCGTGGAGTAACCTGAGTTGTGGACCGGGATTGCGTCCGAGGAATGAGGCTGGGTTCCTCTCTCTCTTCTTCAGAAAATTCACCTGGGATTTCAACCGACATCTTGTTAGGATAGGTGAACAAGACTTGCATCTTTGGCCTCTTTACAGGAGGTGAAGGTTTGCACGGTTAAAAGCGGCGAGTTTTTTCAGCAATTGCTAATTCAAATAACTCTAAAGAGAGGGGATCTAACACACCTGTTTCCGGTGCCTCTTCTCCAGCATCGCCACCAATTCCTACACCACCCCCAAAATGAGGTTTTGTAGTTGGCTCCTTCTGCTATGAATGACTAGAAGGACCCGTCGATTCCCTACTTCTCCTCTTTTCGAGTGCGGATTCATGTACCATTCGAGTAGCAACCCGAGAAGCCTCTTCGTCGGTTGACTCAGTGATCGTTTGAACTGGTACATGTTTATTGGCCGCCAAAAGCCACCGGCATTGTAGGAAAGCCAGCTCTAACTTGCGCTCAACGCCCGAAAGATTAAATTTGACACCGGTACAACCAGTGATGTCCCAAAGCCACGCTCGAGCCCCATCCACTAAACCTCCACGGGTCCGAAGCTGTTGGTTTGGGTTCCCGATGTAAATTTGATCGTAACCAAATTGGTAAGCGAACCGACATGACAAGTAGGGTTCTATGTAACAATGATTTCGGACGTGAAAGATCACATAGCCTGGCCGAATATTAACCAACCAATCGAAGCAGCCAGAATCAAGGAAAGTCCGACCTGTACCCGGCTTCTCTACATCTATCAATGAGTCGTCGTACTGACCTGAAAACCGTGGGAAGCAAGTAGGGAAGACCCAGCATTTGTGATTCTGAAGCTGCTTCCTAACATCTGCGAAACCTCGTCCCTTCCACTTACAGTTTTCTATTATTTGAAGAAAGGGAAGGGAGGGATCCACCGAGGTCGGTGCCCACATCATATCGGATCGATGAAGTACTAGCCAAGCCATTAAATAAGTATAAGGGAGCTCCACCTTTGTGAGAGGAATCTGAGTAGGCGGAGAGTTCTCTTGACTAAATCCGCTTACAATTTGACGTAGTCCTCTGTAAATACCCGCGGTCATTGCCGGAAGAAGACATAAGTTTTTCCGGTGAGCAAGTAGAACCGCTGGAAACAACACTTCAGGGGAAAGTACGTCAGAAGATTGGTATGGCACTACACACTTTTTCAGCCAAATAGCGAGATACCCGGCAAGTAATGTTGTAGGCCGGATTGGTTTGACTCCATGCCACAAGAAAGTTTGAAATTTCGTTCCGGCAGCAAAGCCATCCTCAATACCAGCCGTGGTGTAAGATTGATCATTGGACCTCTTGATTAGCTCATTCACTTCAGAGGTGCTTAGTGGCGACAACTCGCAAATCGGTTCATCCAGAACACTGTCTATATTCTTAAAAAGATAATCCGCGAACTTCTTTAAACTGATTTGCGGTCGCAATTTTTTTGATAAAGGATCAATACCTGCAAGAGCTATGTGATAATGGCAGGCAAGATCCCAGAAGGTGTTGCAAGAGCTATGTGATAATGGCAGGCAAGATCCCAGAAGGTGTTGTAACGGTTGGGAGTCCGCGACCTTAGTTGCTACAGCTCCTTATTAGAGGGAAAATACTCCTGATAAATCATGTTCCCCATCGGAAGACCGGAGATTTTATGCATCTCGTGCAGTGCTAATCCCAACTCCCCATGCTTGGTCAGAAACGTATTGGCGTCAGGGTTGTAAAGTTCCAGCAGCGCCAAGAAATAGGGAACGCTCATGGTCAGTCCGTAAGTGGTAGCACGAACAGCTGCATATAAACCACCAGCCCTCAAATCCTCGCCAAATCGTTCTAAGATGTAGTGGCTCAAACGGGTCCACCACAGTTTATCTGACGAGTGTACCCAGCCATAACATCGATGACCGGTTGCTGGCATTTCTCGGCCCAAAGCCGCAAGCCGATTCTTCACAGTGTTCGCAACAGTGAAGATCTCGCCTTTGGGTGGGTCATTCAATCCTGTAATCCTCGGATGTAACCCCGTTATCCGATTCCGATTACTTGAGCCAACCGTGCCACGAGTAATGTAGCCGCAGTGAATGCGCTCATGTTCTTCCGTTAATCTCCATGACATCTCCCAAGGGACAGCTTGACTCCGAAGCTCGGCGAGCAACGGTGGCAAGGAATCGGAGGAAGGTATAGGTGGCCACCGTCGTCGTGATGCAGCCACTGCTCCATCCCAAGAAAAACAGCGGCGGGATCTTCTATAGAATCCCCAAACAAATAATCTGGCTTTCGTAGCGGGTGCGTAGAACTTGGGTCCTTCACTAGCGGCGCGTCCGTGATAAGTTGTCGTAAACTATGGCGCTCTCCTTTCCGTATTAACCGTGGAAGCTCTTCTGGGACACCTGGAACAAACTGAGGAGCCACCGGAACAGGGATTGGCTCATCAGTAGAGGCATAAGCCTCACTACAACGGCCCTCTACCGAATGAGCGCTAAATTGCCTCGAGAGAAATTCAACTAAAAAAATATAGGTAATTAACAAGTTCAACCATAAATGCCTATGTTAAAAAACAGTATAGGCGTCGAACTCGACTCACAAATTGTGAGATAGAGTCACGGCCTTCGCCCCACAAAGGAGAGCAAAACGAGGAAATTATACCAACGACATATTCACGATGGATTATCTAGGCGAGACGATTAAGAGCCGCACTATACACACGAAGTATAGAATATATTGTCGCACGAATTATGCGACAATATACCTATCCTTAGGAGTATAGTACGGCAAGAAATCACCCCGAGATAATTCAGTCATGTCTTGACCAAGCAAAACACGACTTGTAAAGCGTCCACCCCCACGAAGGAGGATGGCGGCTCTTCCTAATTGACTTACCAAGGAGAACAAAGCGGGGATGCAACATGCAGTATGATATCTCGGTATTTAACTCATGAATAAAAGAGGCAGTTATGATATACCTGTGCAGCTGAACGGCGCCGGCTCGGGCGACTGAGTCGCCAAACGGCCTCGAATGACGCGAGATCTCTTGGGAGACATATCTGTAGAGAGAATTAACAGGTTAATTACGATTGAGAAATATCAGATTAATGCAAAGAAAAATAGTGCTCCAATCAGACTTAAGTAGCGGGTGTGGGGCAGGTTCAGTTTCAGCCCACAACAAGTCATGCAACAATTTAAGCCTGAATTTCGGGAGTTCAGCCGAAGTCATCTACGTGGCCAACAATAAAACCCGACGTGCCTACAAATTAGGCTATTGTGTATGCTAAAGTCCGGTATAATAGTTATCGTGCACAACTAGAGGCCCAAGGGTACTAGACTTTAGTCTGACCGAATTCATGCATGCAAACAGAACAAAATTTCTGGCCACGACCACATGTAGAATTAGGATGCCGGATCAAAGCCTAGAACCAGTCGCAATTCAACACCAAGCATTCAGTTAATGTCCAAGTTCGAAATCCACATTTCAGTCTTCGTCCACAGTCGAATTCAAGGATCAAGATTCAAGAATCAAAAAAATTTTAAGCATTCAACCCCAAAACAAACTTCTATTGAGGATTCGGCAACAGTAAAAAAGACAAGAATGTCTAAGCTTGATCTCAGTCAAACCAAGTGCTTCAAAATGACGGCCCAGACCTCACATACAACTCAATTTTGGGTGTTTATCTCTAAACCAACTAAGAAATCAAGAATTGGGGTTTTAGTCAAAAACCCTAGATCTACAATGAGAGTTTCGGCCATAAATCAAGTGTCCGAAAATGGAAATTCGATCAAACTTGAGGTGAGGACAAACAATCTTACCTAGAAGTCGTCAAGAACGGAGCTCGAACCTAATTGAGGAAGAATCGAAACCCTAAATCCCCAAATTGAAACTTCAAAGTTCTAGCCTGGCTCCCAAGAACTTGTGAAAAAAGGCTTGAAGAAGTCGAGGAGAACTTAAAGGAAGAGAGGAATTTTCGAACAGAGGAAAACGTCGAAACGAATGAAGAAGAAGAACAGTCGGTTTTTAAAGTACCGCCCGAAGCTGACTCGCAAAACCCGAGTCACCACAAGCTGACTCGCAAAACCCGAGTCACCATTAGCTGACTCGCAACACCTCAACCTCCATTTGCTGGCTTGCACACATGCAAGACACCATTTGCTGGCTCGCACACATGTGAGCCACCATTCGCTGGCTCGCATGTATAGCGAGCTGTTTGGGCTAAATTTTGGGTGTTTTGGTCCCTCAGTGATCATTTCCAACATATACGGTATCCGTATTCATACTCTAATGGGTATACGAGTTTAAACTGTTTCCCACCCTTGACAGGAAGTTTCTGGAGAATATTGTGCAAAATATTCTTAAGGATAACCCGACGAACTCCTAAGAGTATACGAGTATAAACTGGTTCTCTTCGCTTCAACACATAACTTTTGACCAATATCTGTCAAGACGTCGTCAAATATGAATTCCCAACAAAGATAGTCAGCTCAATGTCAAATCAACGACACCATTTGGTTTCAATTCAAGACTTCAACAGCGGTCAGACGATAAACGCAGAACCGTAAAAAACTTCATCAATTCGACAGAACGCTGAATAGATTGAAGGTTGAAGGAGTCAAGAGATGAAGCCCATTAACAGGTCTTTCCGCAGATAAGGCCTATCACATCCAAAGTATTTCAGGCACTTCTATAAAAGAAACGAGACTGAAACACTTTGGAGGGGGTATCTGTAGGTGTTAAAAATTGCCTATAAGTTCTTAAACACAGTTCAAGACAAGGAAAAGACGATAAACGTTATTATCCCAAGTCAAGGGAATTTATCCGACATCAGCAAGGGGATGAAACGGATCAGTAGAATGCACAAGTCAGCGAAGCAACGAAGTGTACGCAAAACAAGGGAAATGGAAGAATTACAAATCGCCAAATTATCAAAAAGGCGAACGAAACACCACTTGGAGGCCCGTGTAGGCGCGAGTCACCAATTGGTGGCTCGCACCTATGCGAGCCACCAAATGGTGGCTCGCACCCATGCGAGTCACTAAATGGTGACTCGCACAGCAAGACGAACTGACTCGCAAGGCTGCGAGTCACCAAATGGTGACTCGCACCCATGTGAGTCACCAAATGGTGACTCGCATAGTTCCGAGCCACCAAATGGTGACTCACACAGTTCCGAGTCACCAGGACTCTTACTGAATACAAAACCTCCCCAAACACGGATTTCGATGATTTTTAAGTATTCTTTCATCCCAGAACCTCTCCAACTGTTTTGAGGTTATCTCTAAACACGTTTAGACGGTTATAAACTACAGATGACGTCTAAACACAAATTCTTATTCAAAAGGATATCTCCAAAAGCCTATAAATAGAAGCCTAAGGTATTCTTTAAAGAGGATCTGAGATTGAGAAGGCGAGGTGCTGTCAAATTGTCCAGTTAACCACGAATTTCAGAGGAGAATCATCAGAGCATAGTGAATACTTTCATAAAGAAAGCCCTTTCGAAAGGTTTGTGATTCTTTCCCCTTCTTTCCTCCGGATTAAACTTGGTTTTAATCTCGAGAAGAGCCACAATCTCGCTTGGTCGTGATTGTCGCTTCCACAATTGTTTCCTTCGTGAAACAAGAGCGTAATTATATTGTCTATCGGGTTGATCTGTGGTGGTCCAGGGACTAACGCGTCCCCGGCACAGGCAAAGATCCCACGCAAAGCAGCGGGAGATAAACTACTGCTGCGTTTTGTTTGATAAAGTTGTCATCTTTATTTTTTCGTTGTAAGGAGATCTTATAAAAAGATCAACTTTTCTTTCAGTTTGAACTTGTAATCGATAAACGGTGTAACAGGTTTTGAAAACAATGGAAAAGGCAACTTTTGACACAAACAGAGGCGTCTTGATGCAGACTCAGAGGGTAGTAGCATATATCTCACGGTAGTTGAGGGTACATAAGCAGAACTATCCCACTCATGATTTGGAGTTAGCAGCAGTAGTATTTGCACTAAAGTCTTGAAGACACTACTTGTATGGAGTGCAGTTTGAGCTGTTCACAGACCACCAGAGTCTAAAGTATCTTTTCTCTCAGAAGGAACTCAACCAGAGACAAAGGAGGTGGATTGAGTTTATCAAGGATTACGAGTTCACGATCCAGTATCATCCGGGAAAGGCGAACGTCGTAGCAGATGCTTTAAGCAGGAAGCGTCGACATCGGGTTTCGGCTTTGAGGTGTTCATTATATAGAGATCTTTGTACTCTTAGCCAGTTGGATTTCAGACCCAAGATTGGTGGAACCAGTGCATTTTTGGGAGCTGTGTCAGTGCAGCCATCTTGGAGTATCGGAGTTGTCAGAGCTCAGCTGGAAGACTCTTGGATTCAAATCCGAAAGGAGGAGATTTCTAAAGAACCTAAAGCTAATTGGACCATTGGAGCAGATGGAGGTCTACGGATGAAGGGTAGATTGGTTATGCCATCCAGTGTTGAGCTGAAGAGGGAGCTATTTGATGAAGCTCATCGTCTCGGTATATAGTGCATCCAGGAACCACGAAGATGTACAAGGACTTGAAGAGACACTTCTCGTGGAGTAGTATACGTAGAGAGATTGCAGAGTATGTGGCTAAGTGTTTTACCTGTCAGCAGGTGAAGACAGATCATCAGAGACCAGCAGGAACACTTCAGCCTTTACCCAACCCAGAGTGGAAATGGGCGGATATTTCTATGGACTTCATTGTAAGGGTTGCCAAAGTCAAAGAAGGGGAATGATTCAGTTTGGGTGATTGTGGATCGGTCGATGAAGTCAGCGCATTTTATTCCAATGAAGACTACATATACAGCTGAGGCGTATGCGAGGATATTTATTCGGGAGATAGTCCGACTTCATGGAGTTCCTGATACGATTGTGTCGGATCGAGGTTCAATATTCACTTCGTATTTTTGGAGGAGTTTCCCGGATTCGTTCGGTAGCAGATTATCTTACAGTAGTGTATTCCACCCACAGACAGATGGTTAGACGGAGAGGGTGAATCAGGTGTTGGAAGACATGTTACGCGCTTGTGTCATAGACTTTCAAGATAGCTGGGAGGAGCATATTCCACTGATAGAGTTCGCTTATAACAATAGTTATCAAGCGACGATCGGTACGGCCCCATATGAGGTATTGTACGGGAGACCTTGTAGATCACTGATATGCTGGGCAGAACCGGAGGATAGCTTAATGCTTAGGCCAGATCTTGTGAGGCAGACTACTGAGAAGATAGCATTGATTAGAGAGAGGATTTTAGCCACTCAAAGTCGACAAAAAAGCTATGCAGATAAGAGACGAAGACCCTTGGAGTTTTAGGTTGGAGATTCGGTTATGCTGAAGGTATCGCCTATGAAAGGTGTTCAGCGATTTAGGAGACGGGGAAAGCTTACACCGAGGTATATTGGACCCTTCCGGATTTTGGAGCGCATTGGAGCTGTATCATACAGACTAGATCTTCCAGCATCGATGTCTAGTATACATAATGTATTTCATATTTCTATGCTCAAGAAGCACTTGCATAATGAGGAGCAACAGAGAGTGTTGGATGCACCAGATATTGAGCTTCAGGAGGATTTGACTACTATTGAGATTCCGGTTTGTATACTTGTCAGAGAGGACAAGAGGCTTAGAAACAAGGTAATTTCTTTGGTGAAAGTTCAGTGGAACTGAAGAGGCGTTGAGGAGATTTCTTGGGAGTGAGAAGAGGACATGCATCGCGACTATCCACACTTGTTTGAGCAGGTAAATTAAATCTTTTTGTATGACTTATATATGGCTTATAGATTCAATTATGACGATGTTTATACTTAACACTAAAATGAGGGTATTACCACTTATCTCCTAAGTACTCGGAACATATGGTATATATATGAGGGGTTCCTTGTTTGGATTTTTCGCTTGATGTACTTGTTCCATTTAGTTAGGGGTTAAGTGGGTGTATTTACATTTTAGATGGTTAAGTGTGGACATCGAAGATGATTTTCGAGAGCGCGAAGATGCTATGCAGCGCTACTTCATGCATTTATTGAGGAAGTGGATTGATTTA